TTTTTTTTTTTTTTGCTGAACCAGGGATTGAACTCAGACCCTTGCACTTGCCAGGCAAGTGCTTATTCTACTGAGCCATCTCCCCAGCCCCCAGACAGGAAGCTTAACAAGAGGAAGGTCTGTGTGGGCTTTGCTCACCTCTGCCTAAGACTCAGTTGTTTACATAATAAATAGTTGATGAACACTTAGCACATGCCACGCTAGGCACTGCTCTCGGTTGTTCTATTTATTTATTTATTTATTATTTTTTTCTTTGGTCTTTTTGAGACAGGGTCTCCCTATGCAGTTCAGGATGGCCTTGAGCTCACTTTGTAGCCAGGGATTACAGGTGTGCACCACTACGTCCTGTTCTTGTTCTTGTGAAGTTTATTTAGGAAAAGACAAACACAGGGGGAACTGTGTATAGGTCAAGTGTTTCTTATGCAAAATGTCTTCCAATAGGAGTGTTTAGGATTTCAGTAGAATATTTGTGTATGTATAATGAGATATCAAATTTTAGCAAGACATTAATTTGTGTTTCTCATACAACTCATATACAGGGCCTGATAGTAATTTTATTTTATTTTTATTTATTTATTTATTTTTTGGTGGAACCGAGGATTGAACTCAGGCCTTTGCACTTGCCAGGGAAGTGCTTATTCCACTGAGCCATCTCCCTGGTCCATGGTTGAAACAGGGTCTTGTAATGTGCAGATCAGCCTTGAACTCATATGTAGCTCAGGCTGGCCTTGAACTCTTAGAGGGCCTACTGCCTCAGCTTCCTAGGGGCTGGGATTATTGGCATATGCCACCACACCTGGCTATTGAAGATGGCTTTATATAGTATTTTTCATGTACCTGCCTCCTCTCCAATGCCTACTCCATTCTGGGGATTGAACACAGGTATGCTCTACGGACCTATATCCCAGTCGTTTTTAAATTTATTTTTCATTTTTGGGGTAGGGTCTGACTAAGCTGCAGAGTTTCTCATGCAGAGCTTGAATTGTGATCCTCCTGTTTAAGCCTTCCAGAATGCTGGGTGTGCTTGCCTTTTGTCTATAACTGGTCACAGAAAGTTGAATGTGTATTTTTCTACTTGTGAGTTGTTGGGTGCTCCCAAAGTTTTACATTTTGGAACATTTTGGAGTTTTGTTCTCTCTCTCTCTCTCTCTTTCTCTCTCTCTCTCTCTCTCTCTCTCTCTCTCTCTCTCTCTCTCTCTCTCTCTCTCTTTCTTCTTTCTTTTTTGTACCAGGAATCAAACTCAGGACCTTGGGCTTGACAGGCAGGCACTTATGCCACTGAGCTATACCCCGGCCCCATTTTGGATTTTTGGATTAGGGATGGTCCACCCTTATATAAACAAATAATTTTGGGTAATAATAAGAGCCTTATAGGGCCGGGGAGATGGATCAGTAGAATAAACACTTCCCTGGCAAGAACAAGGGCCTAAGTTCAATCCCCCCCCCAAAAAAAGCCTTATAGACAAGAAGACAAAACAGTGTGATAGTGTTGGCAAGTTACTTACTTTACCCCAGTGCTGATTATTCTGTGAAGACTTTCCTGGGAAATCTGAGTATAGAAGAAGCACTCCAGACTTATTTTTTTTTTAAATATATTTATTGAGGGAAAGAGAGCTCCTGTCCAAGAGAGGGACGGGGGTGGGGTGGGGGGTGGTCCCCCATCCAGACATATTTTTTCCTTAAAAAATTATTCATACATCGTTGCAGTATATAATGCTTCTATTCATCATGAGTTGGTATATGTACATACACCTTAATTTTAATTTTTTTACCTTATTTTTGTTACTTCCTCTTCCCTTCTTCCCCCCCTTTTTTTTTTTTTTTGTATTTTAGGGAAGGGTCTACAGGATGTTCAGGGTCTCACTACTAGATCAGACTCGTAGTGATCCACCTGTTTGCAGTATCCTAAGAGCTGGGATTACAGGTGCTTGTCCAGTCTCAATTGCCCTCTCAGCACACCCCAGGGGCAGGCCGGCACTCTGAGCCTACTTGCACGTGCTTTAATCGGCTGAGCTATTTGGCCGGCCCTTCCTCCCATATTTTCTTATTTAATACATTCACTCGACTACATATACTATGAGGGAAGGAGGAAAGCTCCTCCATGGAGCCTCCAGCATTGGCATAGACAAGGCTCTGATGAACCATTTACCCAAATGAATGAATGGGTAAACACATTCATTTCTTCATTCATTTACTTAAATGAGTGGTTTTCAAGAAGGATACGTGTGTGCCTTTCAGTGATTTCTGGTTTTGGTTGTCACAAGGATGGGGAGGGTGATTCCTGGCATTTGTGGAGAAAGAGACATAAAACACATTGTTTCACAAGTCAACATGACTTTCAGTTCACCTGTCACATCTTTATGTAGATGGAAAGCATAATCACATAATCACCCAAGTCTAGACATTAACTCCCTCTCACATATAGAAACAGAAAGTACCACCACCATCTCGCTGGGGATCAAGCTACATCCTTAACCACAGAAAGTAATATTTTTTTTGAGGCAGGGTCTTACTATGTAGCCCAGGCTGGCCTTCAAATCCCAGATATCCTCCTGCATCATTCTCCCGGGGCTAGGATTATAGGTATAGGCCATCATACTCAGCAGAAAGTAATTTCTGATCTTTAAGTACAAACTAAATTTCCAGGTATGACACTAGCATGCAAATAGAGGGGATAGTTGTACCTGGTCTTACTGAAGTTTTATTAAAATTTGCCCATCTTTTCAGAAAATCACACCACCCGTGGACATTTGTCCATTTCCAGTGTCCTCCATGACTACATTCAAGGTCATGGTATTCTGAACACTTCAGCAATCTTGTGCGTTCAAATCCAAACATCTACATAGTGAACCCACCTATTACTTCATTGTAGTCTGTTGTATGCCTCCTTACTTTACAATTACAGTTCCTTTGCAGGTTTACACATTATGCGGCTTAAGACACCTATGTGTCCCTTCCTATTCCCGGAAGTCTGGGGTGGGGGTGGGGAGCGTTTCCGTCCATTTGTTATGGAGAGAAACTCTGGAATGGGCCACAGCCGCCAGCTGGAGGTCCTCCACACACCAGGGGTCGCTGTGGCGCCGCGCGGCCGCGCCGGGTCGCTCTCGCGTGGCCGCCCCGCCTCGGGCCCCCGGGCCGAGTGGGCGGGCACGACTGCGCCCAGGTCGCGAGGCGCCCTTCGACCAGCAGCGCCCGGGGCGGGCGGGTATAAATGGAGCGGTGGCTGCCCCAGCCGCCTCTCTCCGCCCCGGGTCGCTGCCGCCTGCGCCGCTTTCGGGCTCAGAAGCCTGAAGCAAAAAAAAAAAAGAGAAAAAGATAAAAAAAAAAACCCGAAAACGCTTCAAAACCTTAAAAAAAAAGAAAAGAAACAGCGAGTCCTCCTCGGAGAGCCCGCGGGAAAGTCACTTGCTC